ATGATGATGATGATGATGATGATGATGATGATGATGATATGGTGTTGTTTCTTGTTATGAGTGTCTTGATACCTCGTTCAATAGAGTTTGTGTTGTTTTGTTGTTGTCGTTATTGTTTGTCACGAGCGCTCGGCCGCAATGGCGACATCAACGCACTCGCGACCAAAGTCTCCCCCCTACCCCCCCCTCGTCCCTCTTGCGGGGCCCCCCTCGTCCTTCTTTTTTTCCGCGCAGTACGTGGCCCTGCTGTTTGATAGCGATCACAACCGTATAGGCTGGCGCGTGGCCTGCGAGTTGTACGCAAAGCCGTTCATGGAGATGGCTTGCCCGGCAGAAACGTGAGAGACAATCAATCCCTAGGGCTTTGCTCCCGCTGTCTATGTGCCAAAGTGAGCACGCCTTCGTCCTACGATGAACAGTCTGGACACCACAAGGAAGCGAAGTCGGGAGAGAGAAGCAGAGAGATTATTCTAGGCCATACTACCCCACCCTGCCCGTACTACTCGACTATAAGTAAGATTGTGCGGTGGTGTTACAAAATCAGATGCATCGCGAAGGAAACATGATACTCGTCCGCGCACCACACTTTGTGTTCAGGGGTGCCAACAACTGACACTTCCTTGCAAAATGTAAATGACCCAGTCAAGGCCAGTGGCCGCCGCCGCCTTGGGCATTGGGTTAAAACCTCTAGTTTTGGCGGTCATTTGCAGCCCACAAGAGGAACCAAGAACCCCATCCTCGACGAGAGCTAGCGGTTATTTAGTGTGGGCGCTATCTGTGGTCCATAGGAGACCCCCCCCCCAGCCACAACCCAAATCGGGCACCGATGTTTCCTTTCAGACGTCGTCGAAAAATTTGCGTTACAGACGCGTCCGTACCCATGCCATGCCAATGAAACACCAGGAAACGAGCACTAGGCATCCGGCCGATGGACGTGGCGAAGCTCTCGAACTTCGACCCCTCGGGGAAGGCCACCCTTATCTTGGCCTGCGCCAAGGCGGCATGGGCGCGGCGGGGGGTCGGGGTGGGGGGGCAGGCGTGCGGCGGAGGCTCCCCGCAGGGAGAAGCTGCGGCGGACTTCGGTACAACAGGCGATCAGGCTGGGGAGTCTTGTCGGCCGAAGGACGGCGGAGACGAGGGCGGCGGCGACGCCGATGCTTCCTCGACAGCGGGGTGGGCGGCGGCGGCGGCGGCGGCGGGTGCTGCTCCGGCGTCTCCTGCTACGACGCTCTTTGCTTCTCCCGCTCGTCCGAGGTCGGCCATGTCGGTGCTGTCAACCTCAGTGCTGGCGGTGTCTCGACCGGGATCACCAACGTTGGCAGCGGCGCCACCAGCGCTCGCGGGGGAAGGAGGGGCGGCCGAGGGGGAAGCAGCAGCAGAAGAAGGGGCAGCGAAGCAGAGAATAAGCGGCGATCGAACGGGGTTGTCGTTCTGGCGCTGGGGGGGCAAGCCCCGCAGCGGCGATGAGGACGATAGCGGCGGAGGGGGGGGGGGGGGGGG